TCAATCAAATATCTTTTAAGTACCTACTATGTGCCAGGTATTGTGCTGTGTATACTAATACAAAGGATGAAACAATTCCCCCTTACTGGTTTTCCTGCTTCCAAGTAATCCCCTCTCAAATCCATGCACCCAGCTGCAAAATTAATGTGCCTAAAAATATAGTTCTGACCATATCACCTTCTTTTGTAGCTTCCTATTGAGGGGCTGCTAGGTGAGACAGTGGATAGTGTTGAGACCAAAGTCAGGAAGATTCGACTTCATGAGTTCAAATCTGGCCTCAGACACTTATTAGAAGTGTGACCCTGGGTAAGTCAACCCTGTTTGCCTCAGTTTCCTCATCTGTAAAATGAGCTGGAGAAGGAAATGGGAAACCACTCCAATATCTTTGCCAAGAAAACCCCAAATGGGGTCACAAAGAGTCAGACACAACTGAACAACAATTGTCACTGTCAAAATGAAAGTATTTTAGCATTTAAAACTCTCCACAATCTAACATTAATCTACTTTTCCAGACTAATTTCATATGCCTAGCCCACAGTAGGAGCTTGATAAATGTTTATTGATTGATTGATTGATTACTCCCTTTCATGCATTTTATGTCCCAGCCCATGTCATCTCTTTGCTGTTCCCAAGTTCAAGTCACTAGTTCCAAATAAACTACATTCAAGGGTATTAAAAGAACTGGCAGGGGCAGCTAGGAGGCACAGTGGATAGAGCACTGGCCCTGGAGTCAGGAGGACCTGAGTTCAAATCCAGCCTCAGATACATAACATTTACTAGCTATGTGATCCTGGGCAAGTCACTTAACCCCATTGCCTAGCCAAAAAAAAAAAAAAAGAAGAAGAAGAAGAAGAAAAACTGGCAGACATAAATGCTGAGAAAGAGAGAAGCACCTTAGGGCTCAGAAGGCACAAATGTTCAATATTCAATAAAGGAAAGTAACAATCTCCATCAGATTTCAACCCGTAAAATTGTATGAATTAAATGAATGAAAAATGTCTTTTGTATATTCCGAGGTAGGCAGTTTAATGGCCAATTCGTTCAGTTACTACATCAGTATGTGAATCTGGGATAGGCCCTGTTAAGAGGCAATGAGTTGGGCACAGAATTCAACTAAGAGAAAGCAAGAAGGATTACATTTGGGAAATTGTGTCAATGATTCTAACAATCTCAAGGACAAAAGTCCATCTTTTTAACACAAAATTTTCTCCTGGTGATGATGTGAATCCTGTAATGCCATAATCTCTTTACATTCAAGGTTGCATGTGACTTAAAGAGCACTGGAAGTGTTCAAGGTAAAGGCCCATTTACCTCTGTTTCATGGATTGAAATCTGATAGAGATTGTTATTCTCTTAGACATTTCTCTTGAGTAATCATAGATCTCATTGAGGCCTTGTAATATTCTGGGATTTTGTGCAATCTGCAAATTGGACTATTTGAATGAAATCATCACTTCTTGGACATGTGTTTTCCATCTGCATCCTGCACTGGACAACTTCCACGATAAACAAATTCCTTTGGTGAGCACACAAAACTTGTTGTTTTATAGTAATAGCTAACTCTCTCTCTCTCTCTCTCTCTCTCTCTTTCTCTCTCTCTCTCCACACACACACACACACACACACACACGTACACACACATATACACATACATATGTGTATCATATATATATATATATATATATATATATATATATATATATCTCCAACAATGACCTGAACTCACGAAGTAGCATAATGCATAACATTAAAGAAATTTATAATTGGAGAAGGAAATGAAATTGGTCATGTAGGAAAAAAACTAAGTAGAGAAGGTGATAAAGTCCTTCACATATAGGATCATAGATTTGGAACTTAAAGGAGTCTCAGAAGCCAGCTTATCCAATTCCCCTCATTCTACAGATGAGGAAACTGAGGCCCAGAGAGTTTAAATGACTTTTTCTTATTAACACAGCTGGTGTTAGAAGTAGGATCTGAAACCCAGTCTTCCTAACTCTAAGTCTGGCAGTCTGTTGACCATGTCACAGACAAATAGATAGCAAAGTATTACTCTGATCCCTATGAGATATAAAAATAAAAATAAAAACCTAGGGAAAGGCTTTCAGTCCATAGGCTAAACATTCAAAAGAGGCCCTATAAGATGGATGCCTATAAGATGGATGGGTTCAGAGCTGTACCAGAGGAGAGAATAGCTATATTGATAAGGTCATAGATCCAATGAACAACTACTCTATGGATTAACCATGAAACTTACTAAATTGATAACCTCCCTAATGAAAGAAATACCTATTTAAATTAGTCACTTGGAAGATATCAAATAAAGAGAATATATTGTCTGGAGACCCTTAAGACACTCATTGTGGAGGTGAACGCAAAATTTAGCCTAAAAGCACATCCCAAAGCAACCCAGAGAATGATGTTTAGTCTCCTGTCCACATCTAGCTACTGGATGTACTATTTTCAAAAGGTCCCTAAGGAAAGAAATAGATAGATAGATAGACAGATAGATAAATAGATAAGATAGAGGACACAGGGTGAGTTGAAGATGAAGGGATGATATCTAAAAAATAAAATTAAGGGGTGAGAGAGGATTATACTGGGAGAAGGAGAAAGGGAGAAGTAGAATGGGGTAAATCATCTCACATAAAACAGATAAGAAAAAGCTTTTACAGTGGAAGAGAAACGGGGGAAGGAGAGAGAGAATGAGTGAATCTTATTCCCATCGAATTTGGCTTAAGGAGGGAATAACATACACACTCAATTGGGTATGGAAATCAATTTTACCCTTCAGGAAAATAGTGGGGAAGGGTATAAGAGAGGAGGGGGATGATAGAAGGGAGGGCAGATTGGGGGAGGGGGTGACCAGAAGAAAACACTTCTGAGGAGGGACAGGGTCAAAAGAGAGAATAGAATAAAATACATAGGATGAAGGGAAATATAGTTTTCACAAAATGACTGCTATGTAAGTGTTTTGCATGATTACACATGTATAACCTGTATCGAGTTGCTTACTATCTCAATGAGGGTGGGTGGAGAGGGAGAAAGGGAGAGATTTGGAGCCCAAACCTTTAAAAACAAATTGTTTTCACATGCAACTGGAAAATGAGATATAAAGGCAATGGGGTATGGAAATCTATTCTGCTCTACAGGAAAATAGAAGGGAAAGAAGATAAGAGAAAGGGGGGGCAGTGATAGAAGGGAGGGCATATTAGGGGAAGGGGTATTCAGAATGGGATGGGGGAGGGGCGAGATGAGGAGAAAATTTGGAATTCAAAATCTTGTGGAAATGAATGTTGAAAACTAAAAATAAATAATTTTTGAAAGGTCCCTAAGACCATTTTAAAAGCAATAATGTTAAATTTTCAAACCCCATAATGGTTTGGCAAATGGTAACAAGTGCAGGAGTTTTTTGGAGAAACATGTAAATCACATGACACATGGGTAATTCTCATAGTAAGAACTTGCTTATACAATCAATTGCTTGTACTGCATAGCTTACTAAAATGTAGCAGTTGTGCTCTGGTATATTCCCAAGTGGCCCATTAGGTGGCAGAAGAACATTCAACATAGTTTAAATATAAACTAGTTATGAGACTCCCTCATTCCTTTATAATCCCTACAAATCCCTTAATTTAATTTTTAAACAACAATAAACTTACACATTCTTTTTTCCCCATTAAGAACTAAAAAATGACTTGGTTTTCCAGTGGCAGTTTTTCCTCAACCAACAGATGGTATTACTTTGCACTATCTTTAATAATATGATAATAGTTTTATTATCAGGACTGGAAATACATGTGTTATAGGGATTGGATTGGAGTAAATTTATCCTGCATCCTAGCCACTTTCAGAACTTGGACATTTTGGAATGATGAACCCACCTTACTATCCACTAAGCAAGAAAAGCTACTGACTCAGTGGGTTTTCAAAAGACAGTGACTCTCTCTTCCCATTTTTAGATTGTATCAAGACTACTTGAGTCGATATCTGAAAGACTGGGGATAAAAATGATGCTACCTTTTTTCTTGCTTTCAACCTCCTCGACACCAACCCCAATGTGACAACTGCCCCCTTTGAGGCATCTCAAAGATCCTAGGTCCCTTAATCAAAGTTGACTCATTACAGAAGGATTTTCTGCATTAAGGAGGATACCAATGACAGGGGAATAATCCCTGGCCTCACTTTCCAGAAGACACAGACCTAGAGGAGGTTGTTTGGAACATGCAGAACCAATGTGAACTAGGAAATACCGGTTTATTTTGCAGTCCTGCAAAATGCTTTATGAGCTGACAGTTTTACGTCTTAACCTCCCAGGAGAATATAACAGTAGTTATGTTCTGGCTGCTTGTCTAAATTTTCCCCTTTACTGTGGAGAAAACCTAGACATAAGCCAAACCTAAAGTACAAGTAATTTTCCCTAGGGTGCCAGGGAGGGAGTGTAAAGAGTCAAAGAGAATGAGAAAAGGAGTGTAAATCCTCTTATTAGAGCCAGGCTCCTCCAGAACTGAATCTGGTAAGTTACGGACAATATCCTATACCATATGCAGGTATTCAGAAGTGAGACAGACAGGTCCCTTAGTAGAGAGACAGAGAGAGAGAGAGAGAGAGAGAGGGCACAGTGCCCCAGCCCTTTGGACCTAGAAGTAGTTATAATTGTTAGATGTGAATGGTTTGATATAATAAAACTGTCTTAGAAGTGGCCTTGGGAAACATACACTGACTGCACTGGAACTTTAGAATTTCAATCTTAACTCAGACCTTTTGTGCCTTTAAATGTTCTTTGACTTGGAGTATCTATCTTATAGGATAATAAGGGTAATAGAAGAGTTACCTTGAAAGTTTTAACTTTCAACATTACCATATCCTTTTCCAAGCCTCTTTTGGTTCCAATTACCCCTAGCTAACTGATAGGGAAAGGAAAAAAAAAAAAAAGAAAAGTTGAATATTTAAACAGGGGAAATAAAGGAATGTTGACTGTTTAAATAGCAGAAGACCTGCCTATAACTCAAACAGATCCTGCCTTTTAATAATGCATGCATGAGAAGGAAAAAGTTCCACGTCAGAGCACAACTAATCATACAACATAGCCTGGGTCTAGTTTATTTCATGTCATTTACTCCAAAAGCAAGGTCCAGCTCCAAAGTGTTATAGCCTTCAGTACTAAACATGACTTGGTGAAAAAATGGAAAATGCCAAAGATATATTGCAGGTGAGTTGCTTTTAAAGAGTTTGTGGTACTTTTTAAAAACCAACAAGTCCTATAGTGACTTTATTAAGGTATAGTAGATAAATTTCTGTGCTGTTTTCTCATTTTTATCGGTGACTTGGATAAATGAATAGATGGCATGCTTATCAAATTATAGATGACAAAGCTTCAAGTAATAGCTAATGAATTTGATGGCAGAGCACAGGAAGTGGAAATAAAGGACCTGAGTTTTGGACCTTTTTCTTCCATTTTCTGACTTTGTGACTTTGAACAAGTCACAACCTATCTAAGACTGAAGAGAAACTGAGGTTTAGCTACATAATGGGGGAAATAATCCCTTGCCTACATAATGGAATTGTTGAATTAATGAGATAGTAATAATAATAACATAGCTCAGAAATTATAAAGCATCATCAAAATGCAATGTTTATTATTAATCAGTGTTATACTTTGCATATTTTTTAAGAATGGAGCAAATGGAAGCTAATATACTTTGCATAGCGTGAGTGCTAAATGTCATCAAAGTAAATTTTTTAAAATTTGAGGCTGTTTGGCTTTCTGTGATAAAAATTATAGGCCAATTCCCACTGTTCCCCACAACACACATACATACAAACTCCTGCTCAAATTTCTTCCATCAGTTTTATGATACTTTGATGCCCAGTGGGATAAGGTAGAAAATATCTTGTATGTTCTCATTGTAACAATGTTAAAGGAACTTCAGGACTAGGGGAGGTATGTAATTGTGTGTTGCTAAATATTTAAGAACCAGCTCACCAGGAAAAATACGTACCTACAACATATTTTTAAGTTTGATATGGATTATTAACATTGCTTTTTTTAATCACTTTCTTAAGTCTAGAAATCAATAAAACAATAAATCAAGACCTGATTTGTAGTTTGAGGTGTAAATGCTCACAACGAACATTTCAAAATTGGCCCAAGCCAGTTTAAGCTGGCTCCAGTGAGAGAGAGAGAGAGAGAGAGAGAGAGAGAGAGAGAGAGAGAGAGAGAGAGAGAGAGAGAGAGAGAAGAGAAGAGAAGAGAAGGGGATAGATACAGGAAAGTGAGGGAAAAGAGAGACAGAGACAGACAGAAAGAGAAAAGGGGATAGACAGAGAGAGAAAAGGGAGGAGGAGAGAGACAGACAGACAGAAAGAGAGAGAAAGGAGACAGAAAGAGAGAAAAGGGAGAGGGAGTAGGAGAGACAGAAAGAGAGAATTTCAGGCTTTGTTAAGCTTTTTACAAAGACTGTTGTGAAAATGGCATAAACTCAGTGCCACAAAAGGAATACGACTTAATTCATCATGAAGTGGGGGATGGACACAAGACTTTATTAAGCACCTACTATGTGTCAGGCACTGTGCTAAGCACTATATAAATATGATTTCATTTGAATGGAATCGATTGTGTGGTGTCCATGTAGTCCTAAAACTTGTGATACATTATTTGCTACCATTGGTGTAGGTATCACGTAAGCAATCTGCAAGGTTTAGTGGCTACAAAGAGAAGAGACCACTCTTCATTGGAGATTTGTTTTGAAATTAATGAAAGGAAGAAGGGGCCCTTAAAGGATTACTTGGGTGGCCCAGATTGACCACTTATTCTGACTCTTCCTTTCTGTAGCAAACCTGGACTTGACTCTCTTTGGAATTGATGAAACCATACAACACAATCAAGTAATGCTTGTCTTCAGCCTTCTTCTGGTTGGACTTATCTTTCATTGATATTTATGAAGAACCTGCTGGTTACACAGCACTGAGCTAAACACCCCTTATCCTTGTTCTGGGTAGATAAACTTAACAAGATCCTTTCATCTATTCACTCTATCTCTTGTTGTTGTCATTGTTATTGTTGTTGTTATTGTTTGTTGTTGTTTCTTTTATGGGGAAGGACGATAGTTTCCCAAAGTCAGGACTGGAGAAGAGAGAAACTACCAAAAGAATTATCCCCAAAAGGATAATCCACTTTGCAAATGGAGACACTATAGATGAATATAGCACAGAAGAAGAAGATGATGAGAAAGAAGAATTAAAGAATACTCCAACACTTGCTACTGTAAGTCCAGTATATCCATATGGCTGATAGGTAAAGGGACAGTAGCCATTTGCCAAACTATTAGCTGGAAAAGAATTCTAATGAGAATATCTGATTTTTGAGAGCACATTATATAGGTTGTAAATTGCTTCTTGATCCTCACAACTCTTCGAGGTAAGCAGTATTATACCCATTTTATAGATTAGGAAACGAAAGTTCAGAAAGTAACTTGTCCCTCACCACATTGTTTATAAGTGTGAAAGGCAGGATTTGAACTTGGTTCTCGCTTGACTTACCATACACCAGAACAGCTCACACAAGACTTTTCTCTCAAGTATGGGCTTTTAATCTGGGATCCATGGAATAGATTTCAGGGGATCTGTGAATCTGAATGGTAATAAATGACATCTTTATTTTTGCTAAGCTCTAACTGAAATGTATCATTTCCTTCAATAATTTAAAAATATTATTCTGAGAAGAGGTCCACCAGCTTCACCAGACCACAAAGGGGTGCTTAACATACAAAAAGTTAATCCCTGCCTAGTGAATAGAGCATTCTGTTGTGAGGTAGGGGTGATATTAAAGCTATTTTTTTCAAAGTATCAGAGAAACATCTAAAAATAAAATGAGTGGGATTGTACTACAAAAATCTCTATCGCCTAGATCCATTTCTGTGTCTTTGAGCAAAATCATTTAATCGTGTACAGATACCTTATCTGTAAAATGATAAGTGAAAGCAGTTCACTATGAAGTACCCCTGGTTATAGAAAGGCACTAGGACATAGGAGAGAGTAAAGATTAAGTACACCTGAGTTTGCTACATGTTTTTTAGTTAGTGTGGTATAGCATTTTGAAATCTCTACAAGAAACAGTTCTCTGAAATCCTTGGGCTTTTCTATTAATCATTGTCACAACTTCATTTGTTTGTCGGTTTTCAGTCTAAACTTCCATGGGGGCCATACTTGCGATTTTGGGCTGTACGAATGACAAGCGCTACATTTTCCAGTAAGTGCCTTCATTTTAGCTCTTCAAGATGACGATTTCTCTTTTTGACACGGACCAAATTGTGACTTAGAATAACCAATAACTTGATCATTACTTTGAGTTGTTTTCCTCTAAAAATGATCAGAATCAGTAAGCTTCAGTTGGATATGTCTTCAAAACATGAAGGGTGGGGTTGGGGGAGGAAGATTGAGAGAGAGCAAGAGAAGAGAAAAGAGGAGGAGAGACAGACGGACAGACAGAGACAGAGACAGGAGAGAGAATGTGTGTGTGTGTGTGTGTGTGTGTGTGTGTGTGTGTCTGAGAGAGACAGACAGAGATAGAGACAAAGACAGAGATAGAGACAAAGACAGAGACAGGAGAGAGAATATGTGTATGACAGAGAATGAGTGTGTGTGTGTGTGTGTGTGTGAGAGAGAGAGAGAGAGAGAGAGAGACAGACAGACAGACAGACAGACAGAGACAAAGACAGGAATGAGAATGTATGTATGAATGTGTTTGCGGGTATGTGGGGGGGAGGGGAGAGGAAAGGAGAGGAGAGGGAGAAAGAGTGAGTGTGTTTGTGTTTGTGTGTGTGTGTGTGTGTGTGTGGAGAGGGAGAGACAAAGAGAGAGACAGACAGAATTTCCTTAGAAAATCTTGAAAGTGAAATAAAACTTACATTTTTCACTTTCATTTAAAAATGTCCAGTCTGCATTTATTTATTAAGCTTCTGACGTTTGGTCAGATATCACTTTAGATATCTGATACCACTCAGTAACAGATCTTGCAATGGAAGTATATAACCTATGGCAATCTACAGTCTAATTATGCAAACAAAACACCTGCAGTATAAAATGCTACCAGGATCACCCCAGCCTCATGCTATTTAGAAGAGGCTTTGATCCTAAAATTACAGAGTGAAATTTTTCTTTAGGAATCCTAAAATTCTTGTTCCATATTGAAAACTCCCAGAATCCCTTTTTATTTTGCTTTCCACTTAATTTAAACCTTGGGCCTTAAACGTATCAACAATTAGAGGGGTGAGTAATCCTATCTTGCTGTTCTCCGATTGAGAACAGAGGGAGAAGAAAGTGGCTTATGATTGCAAGGAAGGAGTTAGGTTACACATATGAAGAATTACCTGATACTGAGTATTGTTAAGCATTGGCATGGATAACTGAGTAAAAAGGAGGAATGTTCTTCTCTGGAAGGTTTTTTTTGTTTGTTTGTTTTTTGTTTTTTGTTTTGGTAGCTAGGTTGATAGAGCCTGGGCCTAGAATCGGGAAGATCTGAGTTCAAATCCAACTTCAGATACTTACTGGCTGTGTGATCCTGAGGAAGTCACTTAACTTCAATTTCCTCATTTGTAAAATGGAAATAATAAGAGTAGCTACCTCCCAAGGATGTTGTGAGTACCAAATGAGATAATATCTGTAAAGCATTTAGCATAGTGCCTGGCACATGGTAGCCATCATATAAATGTTACCTATTTTTTTTATCTTTTTTATTATTATTATTCTATAAATATATAGACTGTAAGCTGCTTTACAGGACGGATTGTTTCATTTTTTTAACTGTGTCCCTAGTGTCTGGCACTCAGTGGATGATTAAGAAATGTTTGATAATTGACTGTTTATTGAATAAAAGATATATCTATCTGATCTGAGGTACCATGGAGTAATGAAAAGAGATCTGGACTTGGAATCAGGAGACAGACCTGGGCTCGAATCCTGCCTCGGATATTTACTAGCTATGTGACCATCTTCAGGTTATGTAGCCTCTCAAAGCCTCAGTTTTGTCATAAGTAAAATGAGGATAATAATTAATTGACCACCTACCTCACAAGCTTGTGAGGCAACTTTAATTTTGAGGCATAGGAAGTGCTTTGTAAGCCTTCAAATGCTACATAAATTTGCGTTATTATTAGATGTCATTTAACTGTTCACATCCATAACGTCTTTTTTCCCCCTTCTGGATCTGTCATTTCATTAAGGTAGGGAGCTACTGGTGAGGAACTCCTTGTGTCAATGTAGAATGGCACCTGCTCTTCGGGACCTTGGAGGCCATCTGCTCCAACCTTCTCATTTTACAGATGACGAAACTGTAGCAAAGTGAGTTGCCTAGGGTCACACAGCTTGTTGTTCAGACGTGTCTGATTCTTTGGGACCCTATGAGATACTGAAGTGGTTTGCCATTTCATTCTCCAGCCTATTTTACAAACGAGGAAACTGAGGTAATAGGGTTAAGTGACTTGCCTAGGGTCACACAGCTAGTAAGTGTCCAGTCTCAATTCCTCTTACCACCATGGACAAATGAATACCTTTCCCCACTTCCTTTTCCATTGAGGTAGATGGAGATCTATAGGATAGATTATAATTGGAAGCAAGGGAGATGATGGGAAAGGATGAGGCTGGATTTGAACTCAGGTCCTCCTGACTCCAGGGCTGGTTTCTATCCACTGCGCCAGCTAGCTGCACCTCCATTCCCTCTTTAAAAATTAAATGGAGTACTGTTTTCACTTTTTGTTTGTTTTTTTCTTTCTCATGATTTTTCTCTTTTGTTCTGATTCTTCTTTCACAACATAACCAATACGGGAATATGTTTAACACGATTGTACGTGTATAACCAAAAAAATAAAAAAACCTAAATGGGGAAGGGATGAACCACATGATCTCTGAAGGTTCCTTTGAGCCCTAGAACACACTGGAGTGACTATGGCATTAGGAAAAGTTAAACCATATGAGTCCTTTCTAGAGAAGCATTCTTCTCTGGAAACTGGTTTATCTCTTCTATGCAGTTTCAAATCCTCAGCCACATACACTCAAAGCTTCCCTCCTTATGAATCCTGCCAACTCTTCTGTTTTTTGTTCTGCTTTCTTATAGCATGCGACTTCCTTGGTGGAAAGTTAGCCACTTTGTTTGGACTTGATGAACCCAAATATCAGTATTTGTTAAATGAATACTACAGAACTCAAAATCAGGTATGCAACATCTTGACAGATAATGCAGGGGCTTAAAATAGAAGTTTGGTTGATTCAGGTCTAAACCAGCAGGACTGTGTGGAGAATTTTTTGGCTTATCTTAATAGTGTTCACCCTCTTTCCCCACAATTCTCTTATCTTCCATAGTCAGACTTTTTTCTCCCAGTTCCTCTTACCACCATGGATAAATGAATACCTTTTCCCTCTTCCTCTTCCATTGAGGTAGATGGAGATATATGCAATAGATTATAATTGGAAGCAAGGGAGATGATGGGAAAGGATTTGAGAAATTACTGACTCACAAAGTCTTCAGCGGAGAGGCAGGAACCCAAGGAGGAATCCAGTGCTGCATAGTAACTTTTTTCTTTGTTTCATTACCTACCAGGAGAAGGATAAGAAAGCTGATGAAGAGGCCCAGTCAACAGAGGTCTCTGACGAAAAGCAGTGCTTGGATATCTATGGCAAACAGTATGGCACCAATGAATAGAAGACAATGGTGGACTTTACTTCCTAGAGAACCTTAACAAATATGGAAAAGTGTCAGAATCCAGTCCAAGACAGGAAGCAGCAGTCAGGGTTCCTTGTACTTCCTTTTCTTGATCATCAGTTGCTACAGCAACAGAACCCCAGGAAGTACTTGATAACCTATCAAAGGGTCTAAAAGTTTTTCCAGTTCCCATTATCAAATAGCAGGTAGTTATAGGTTACAATCAGAGAAATATTTATGACCTTTTCAGGAGTGGGGAACCTACAGCCTCGTGGTCACATATGACCCTCTAGGTCCTCAAGTGTGGCCCTTTGACTGAATCCAAACTGGCTCCAGGGAGAGGGGATATAATGGGAGAAAGTAGGGGCAGCTCCTTTGTATCATTGGGATTTAAATAATGAAGAACAGTGGTGAGGTAGTCATCTAAAACTTTTTGGTGGGAAATGGGAAGGATATCATTTCTGATGGGGCTCTTGGACTCTACTTAGATTATAGGATCATTGAATGTCAGAGGGACTTCAGAGATTGCCTAATTCAACTTCCTCATTGTATAGCTAAGGATATTGAGACTCAGGAAGTTTCAAGTACCTGAACAATGTCATGAAGCTAATTGATAGCACAGCTGGGAGGTGAAAGATAACAGCTCAGTAGATCATTTTGTCCAGTCCCTGCCTTAAAAGTTTAGTCCTGGGTTCTCAGCTGAGGACCATGAGATTTTTAAAGCCCTCTGGGAAGGAAGGTATATAAAATCCACTCCAAACTCTGATCCCTTCAGTTCCTTTCCCAGTTGTTAAATGGAAGTGAATGCATCCTCTAAGGATTTCTGTACTCAATTTATACGTATAACTTTTGCCCAAGCAAAAACTTTATCCCCAAAGGCTGAAGAGTCTCAAGAGAGCAATAGGAAAATCATGGTATCAGGTCTGGCCTTCATCTACTCAAAGATTATACCAATTCAACAACAACACTTTTAAAATGCCATCGGAGTTCTCTAGGGTTCCATTGAACTCCATACTTATGTACAATAGCCACTTCAGTTAAACTACCTACGTCTTTTTTTTTTTAAGCAAAGAAACTCATTTATCCAAATCAATAGCATAATAGAAGTCAAAGTATATGTATGAGAATATATACCAGATAATAGTGAAGGAGGTCTCCCAACGGGAGTGAGGTATCTTAACTCGACCAAATGAGAACGTTCCAGATCTCATCCAAGGGGAAAATTCCCTTAAGTCTCAGTGTAGTAAGCTAAGGAGAGGGACATGATGGAGACTGCCAGCTCCTCTCATGATGGTTTCTTTCCAGGGTCTTTCTGTTTTTAAAACCACCTTACTCTTAACCATCTACTCACTCTCCCCAAAAAATTAGTTACTAAGTCAATAAAAGATTTATTCTTCATCTAGTTCTATGGACTTTTATTTTCTTCTTGGGTTTTTGTCTTTTTTTTTGGTTGGGCAAGGGGGGTTAAGTGACTCGCCCCGGGTCACACAGCTAGTAAGTGTTATGTGTCTGAGGCTGGATTTGAATTCAGGTCCTCCTGAATCCAAGGCCAGAACTTTATCCACTGCGCCACCTAGCTGCCCCCTCATCTAGTTCTAAGTACTATAAAATTCAATGGAGAGCAAGACAGAGTCAAACCCTAGTCCAGTAGTAAATACTTTCCAAGTGTTTCTTGTTTACTTGTTTTCAGTGGAGTCTGGCTTTTTGTGACCCTGTTAGGGGTTTTCTTGTCAGAGATATTGCAGTGATTTCCCATTTCCTTCTCATTTTACAGATGAAGAAACTGAAACAAATAGGGTTAAATGACTTGTCCAGGGTTACATAGCTAGTAAGTGTCTGAGGCCAGATTTGAACTCAGGAAGATGAGTCGTCCTGACTCCAGGCCTGGCACTCTGTCCACTGTGCCACCTCACAGGCCACTTTCCAAGTAGCACCTACATCATCGGGAAATTAGAGCTCTGTTCATTTTTTAATCCCTTAAGTGCAAGAGGACACTTGTACTCACAACCAGCATGCTAATTTGTGATGATTGTTCTTATGTCAGTTCATGTATACATATTGTGTATCCCCATCTAAACTGTAAACCTGACTAGGGCAGGGACAACATCGAGTACTTTTTATGTCTACGCCCTTCCAAAGGGTTTATTTGACTTTAGTCAGAATCTTGCTTGATCCCTGATTATTGAATACTTTGGGAGCCCAGGAAAAGAAGCAAAGGTTCTCTGAGCTGAAGTGAGATGTGGGCTAACAGGAATCCTTTTACCAATAAATTTGGTCATTTTCCTAAACAGATTTTTAAAATCTCAAGCTATGTCAAATGTACATGTTTCTCTGTTCATGTCACAGAAAGTGATTTATCAACACTTTGGGCTTCTATACGCGTGCCCTTCCTTAGTGCTATCTTTTAATTATAAACATCTCCTTTGATCCCACTGAGTTGGTCCAGTTCTGCGTCTCAAGGAACAGAAATTATTCCACTTAAATCTAGCTAGAACATTTCTTGATAACATACAAACCTTGTGATCACCACACATAGGATAATTCCCTTTACCAGTCACCCCCAAACCTCGGCTGTCAGTTCTGATCTCTGAAGGAGGAAGCAGCACCCACAGAAATCCCGGGAAATGGACTCCACTCAGGACGGTAGGCTAGTCCTAAGCAACCGCAATGATAGAGACTGTTTTTATACTCAGAATGCCTCAAGGAACGGAAGCTTGTTCCAAATGTACCAATGCAAACTTCATGAGGCCATGGACTCTTTTCATTCTTTCTCTTTGTATCCCCAGCAGAGTAGCACAATTCTTGACATTCCAGAGTGGTGTTTAATAAATAAACGCTCATTGATCGATTGACCAATTACCCGGGCAACCAGGAACAAGCTCAATAAAGACTCTGCCAGGTGGCTATACTTAAAGACTCATCTGTCACTCCACCTATTCCTGCCTCCTTGTCCCTTATTTCCTTGGGAGAAGGAGTCTAGTCTGGCCAGACAGCAGAACTCACCACCATCACCACCATAGTCTTACATTTGTATCCCAAGAGAATAGTTCCTTCTCTTCCTCCTTTTTCCTCTTCCTCCTCTGTTTTATAGCGGTCCAGGATCTACAGATAGCATTTCAGATGTCCTGAGTAGCTGGGATTCAGCAGTTCCTAGCCCAAACTTTGTTAGTGGATCAATAACCCAGCAGAGAAACTGTCCCCTAAACACTCTGCTCATGAAGTCCTGGCAGAGCCGGGACTCCACCTCTCGTAGAGCCTTCTAAGCAGCTGTTTTGGTTTACCTATGGCATATATTTCATGATAAGTGGGTATAACTGATAACTGTGTTTTCAGTGCTTTTATCAAGACTTTTCAAGAATCAGGTGATTCCCTTCCACACACACACACCCTAAAAAGAAAACTACCAATGTTGAAAAAAATATTTCAGGGAGTAGAGATTATGCTTCTTTTCTGTATGCTGCCATGATTCAGAGTAAGGGGACTTCACAAATATGTCCGAAGGGCAAAATTTTCCTCACATTTCTGGTGGTGTCTCAGTTTCGTTGAATATTCAGATGAACCAGGTCTGCCTATCATATTAAGCTGTTTAGCTTTACATCCAGTATAGTTAATTAAGAGTGGCACATTAGGACAACGTAGAGAAGATGGGGAGGTGGGGATTTAAAAGCCTTGTTATGGCAAAAGAAAGAACAGGCTCTGGCAATGAAGCCTAAATTGTTTAAGCTTCAGATACCTGGTTATACAAAAACTCTACTTCTATTTTACTTGTGTTACCTGAGAACCAGTCTACTGACATACCGGTGAACCTCTCTTAGCGTTTTTCCATTAAATGAAGGGAAACATAGTAACCTGAGACATAGTCACTGGCTGCTAATTCAGAAACACTTTGATAGCATGAAGTGCTATAGAATAAATTGTCTCTGTCAGAAGAGGATAATGGGTGGGGCTACTACTAGTAAAGAATTTAGTTGTGGTAGGTCTCTCTGGGGTTTGGGAAACAGGTGAAACTTCCATTAGGGTTTGAGTAAAGAAAAAGAGGGACTTTCTACATCCTTGATGAAGTGCTGGGCCTGGAATCAGAAAGACTCATTGTGATGGGTTCAAATCTGGCCTCAGACACATACTAGCTGTGTGACCCTGGGCAAGTCACTTAACTCTATTTGTCTCAGTTCCTCATCTGTAAAATGAACCAGAGAAGGAAATGGCAAACCATTCCAGGATCTTTGCCAAGAAAACCCCAAATGGGGTCACAGAGAGCTGGATATAAATGAAAAATCAGTGAACAAATGTAAACATCAGAAAAAAAATTGGGACAACTTACTCCATGAATTATATAGCATTTTGTAATAGCAAAGTACTTCTGGATTAGCAGATAGTGGCTATGTCTCAAGTTACTATTTTCATAAAACTTTTATGTCACTTATGTCAATTTTAACCACACATGCTTTCAAAAATTATCCTTGGATTGCTCATGAAAATCTCATTAGACATTATACAAATATAGCCATATATATTTATACAGTATGTATGTATAAATCAATACATATGTATTTGTATAAATTTGTATGAATATGTAGGGGCAGCTAGGTGGCACAATGAATAGAACACTGGCCCTGGAGTCAAAAGGACCTGAGTTCAAAAGTGACACTTAATAGCTGTGTGACAATGGGCAAGTCACTTAACCCTGATTGCCTCCAAAAAAAGTTTTTTAAATAAATATGTATACAGGGTTTTATTGGTATATTTTGCCTCAAAATAAAGCTTACATCCCAATAACATCTGGCAAATTCTGAATACAAAACTGTTTGCAATCAGCATGCTTTGAGGCTTTTTTCCCTTTCCATCAATGAATGAATGCAGAGTATATATTAAGCACTTACTATGTACAAAGAACTATATTAGGCTCTGGAGATACAAATAGAAAAGTAAGACACTCTTTGCTCTCAAAGAGCTTACATTATAATGGGGGAGGCATCATTTATGAAAGGTTTCAGCGGCAAGTCAGATGGAAAGATCCCAGGGTCCTTAGACTGTGGAGGCAAAGCAGATGTTAATGCCTCTTCCTTAATGCCATTTCCACTGATAAAACCATATCAGTTTCTGATTCTGAACCATTCTATAGTGCCAAGGACTTTGGTGGCAAGAACTTTCTCTTCTGGATATTCAGTAGCTGTGGCTGAAGCACCTTTAGGAGCTGTTGCCAGGCCACTTCACAGACTGCCCATCTT